AAGGGATAGAGTACGAATACTGTATAATAAGCCAGAAAACAGTTCATTCTACACTTGGATGATTTTACATTTGAAATAAACTTTTCAGTTCAATGTTCGTATTGTAATCATAGTGTCGGGTAGGTAATAAGAGAGAGCAAACCACTTACAGATATAACATCTGCGTGATAATGATTTAATTGTTGTCTGTAGTATTGAAAAACATAGTAACGTACCTTTATTTAAGATTCTTATGAGTGTATTTTAGTAAGCGAACGATTATAAGTACCAGACGCCGATTGGCTAAGACGTATCACATGACTAAATGTGACGTCATAATGTGGGAAATCCGTGCTAAAAATAGAAAAACCCACGCGCGGTAGTGGCGTCATCGTCTGGTTGTGAAATATGCGAGACAAAATCGGCAATATAAGCAGGAGACACTGAAGTCAATTCAGTTGTGGAGCGTTGTCAAGATTGTAACTTGCCGTTTGAGTTCACTCGATATAGAAATGTCGAATAAATAAATAAAACGAAGAATGACTGAATGACTAACAGTCAATAAACGAATTAGAAACGTTAGTAAAACGAAGAATGACTGAATGACTAACAGTCAATAAACGAATTAGAAACGTTAGTAAAACGAATCCACGAATCGTCTGCTACTAATGGTCGCATTCTAGAATGTTCACGGTCTATTTTTAGACGAGATTTCGATATGTTACATCACGTGACCTGTGAAACGGATAAAAGATAGAATTTTCTGGAAAATGATTCATTGTGCGTGAGGAAACAGAACAATGGAACAGCTTTATTCGTTTAATATAGGTAAGAGATCACGAAGTAAACTTTTTAGAACAGAAAATGTTTATGTGACCGTGGATTTTCATCAAGGCTGGTCAAGAATTTCACCCCAAGATGTACCAAGACAGTTATTTTTCACTTTTGAGAAATTGATTAGAGAGATTGCAGAGCAGGTAGAATGTAGTCCAACGGATTACTTACGTTTTTCTCTTCATCACCCAGGCTTGAAAACCCCAGCTTTCATCCCCTTTCAACAATACGCAAACGTTTCGGCTCTTCAGCTGTTAAACAAAGTCGCCACGATTCTTCAATCCAACGACCAGTTTCGGCTTGATGAACGAATGAGTTTAGAGGTATGCCATGTTAATCCACCCGATGGTGTGGGTTCCGGGGGAGATCAAGTTTGTAAACGCAACGTGGGTGATTTTGGCGAATATTTGAAGAGGAAAAAATGCCTGGTCACCATCAAGAACCAAGACGGCTTATGCTTTCAGCGCGCCATCGTCGTGGCCAAGCATTATGCCATCAAAGTACACACGAAAGAGTGGGAAGCTACACGCGAAAAACTAAGGAAAACGGGACCCAACAGTTTCCAAACGAGAAGGGCACATCGTTTAATTGAAAAAGTAGGCGGATCGATGGATAGCTGTCGAGGACGGGCGGATTGGGAATTATACGGCAAAGTTTTAGGCAAAGAAGGATACCAACTAAATGTATATTCTCGACAACTTTTTGGCAAAGCGGCTNNTATATATCCGA